AGCCAGTATTTCTAGATTCTGATTTTTTAAAGGCTTTGTTTTTTATTATATAAAATGTATTCGAATCTCAAATCCACTCATGTCTACCCATGTCTCATCTTTTCCACACTGTTTCGTTGAAGACTCCCATAACCTCCAACCCAGTGACTACAACAGTCCCCAAGGCCCTCCCAATGTTCGCTCCAGCCCCCTAAAATCCATTCTCCACGCTGGGAGAAGAGTGACCTTTTCAAAACACAAATCTAATCTTGTTAGCCTTTCTACTTAAGATCCTTAAACAGCTTCCAGTTGCCCTCAGGATAAAGTCAAACATCTTGAGCAGGGCCTTAGCTCTGACCTTCAAACGTCTCAAACTTGGCACTTCAGTTCCGGCGCCTGCCTGCAGATCCAGATCTCCACTCCCTCGCACGCACGGTGCAATTCCTCACTCAGCACCTCGCCACATTCCTCCTCTTTCCTATGACCCCTTTGTATCCCTTCCCTCCAGCAGGGAAGTCTTCACTCAATCTCACAGGAGAAAAAGTTCCCCTATTTAGTATGTGTGCATATGTTTGCACCAGGTGCCTCTCCTTTCCATGCCTATCGTTTTTATTGATATGTGTGATTATTTAAAGTCAGTCTCCCCAGGCTCATGAAACACACTTCATAATACGCGAGGGGAAACTCTGCTTTTTTCCTCATTAGACCATCAACATGGTTTTAAGTACTCTGCCTGGCACAGAGAAGAGGGGCAAAAATATTTGTTGAATAACAGAATCATTACGGTAACAATATAGAGGAAAAAAAGGGCTTTAGATTTGACGAGTCTCTCAAACTCAATTTTTTAAAAAGACGTGTTCGTTCATTTATTTATTTTTGCTGACAAGAAAAATTACATTATATATTGCTTACTCAAAATATTGATATATCTTGTCAAATTGAATTATTGAACTTGAAAACTCCCACATACATTTTCTTTAATCAGGTGATTATGGATTTTCCACATTGCCCATCTTTCAAGAGATTACTTTGGCTTTTACTTCAATGAACACACACTTTCTTGGATGAAAAACAAGTACATGCTTAGCATCTTGTTCAATTTTTAAAATTAATTATTAAAATTATTGCATAAATAATACTTGTCTGATTTGTTGATACATATTAGATTTTGGTTAGTATGTATGGTAAGAATTAGTGAGCATTTTGTAAAATTTGCAGATTTTCAGTCCCTCCATGTTCATTCCTTAAGCTGCCGGCAAAGCTGGATCAAACTTAGTCTTTGTAAAATAGTGCCTATGTAACTTATTTTATGAAATGAAATTTCATCAGTTCTAGTGCTTCCTGACTCTGACTTAGCTAGAAACATTATTAGTTAACCAACACGAAATTATAAATGCAAAGGGAAAAAAACCACTTATACATTTATTTTGAGGACTTCAAAAAAGGGTCTATCAAAAAATCAGGTTAATTGCATAAGTTTCTCTTGAAACTATATCTTGATACATTTTTCCTGTAAATTTGAAAATAAAAAATTTACTCGGGATTTTTTTTGCATCGTCCTGTATTAAAAAAGAAGGCTGCCTTTAAACAGATGCGATACATAACAATTTTCAGTTTTTTAACGAGAATATCAGCTTCTGAAACAGTCTTATGCATGATTTCTTGTCTCTGAAGATATTAGCAAACTGCTTTGAATGTGCTACTTGAACTCCATGGAAGGTACTTAGCTCTTAACTTCCCAACACTGGTCTCACGGTCATTTCCATTTCTACCTATCTGGTGTGGATGTTCCTTCCTTGTGTAAGTTGTCTCTTTCACTCACACATTCTCTTGCTCACTTTCTCATTGATTGACTCATACAATTGTTTAACAAATATTTCCAAACTTCTACTATTTGCAAAGCACATAGGAAATGAAGTATACAAAGGAATGTAAGATACATTCTTAAACTTCAGGGGGCTATGATGAAAATATTTGTTAACAAATAAAAAAGTAAATATGGTAGAAATTTAGAATAAAGTAAAGGTGCTTATTGACTCAGATTATTTTCAAATGGCATCACAATAATGGTTCTGCTAACAGGCTCTGGTTTATCTTAGCCTTTGCAGGAAAATGATAAAAATGCCAACGATTTAAAGGAAAAAAAAACAGGGATAATAGTTGGTGTTTGTTCTTAGAGTTAATTAGTGTATATAATTTCAATGTAATTGCTCAGTGAAATGGCAATAGTTTAGTGAATTTCTTTTTCTGAAGAAAAATCACACCATTGAACCAAGTTTTAGATTATACACAAGTATCCCTGAATTATTGAAAAACCTGTGATAGGAAGAATGAAAGCAATCCCCAAAGAAAGTACTGAGCTTTCACTGGAAGCAGTGAAGTTTTCCACACTTCCACCTAAAGTTCTCCCAGGTTCCTCTCTCTCATTTGCTTCCCAAAATACATTCCGTAAAGATATGTTAAAAGACATTGCAGCAGGCTATCAGGAGGCATATTTGCCAGTTCCTTCAATGAAATCACTGGAGAAGGGGTCCAGATTTACATTCCATTAAAGAAAAAAATGTGTAGTATTTGCATAGAGGCAATCATAAACTTAGCATTTGATTTTTATCCCTCTTTTCTTTTCCATCGTAAACAATAAGAATTGCATTTACCAACAATAACCAAAAAAAATGGAGCTTGTAGGCTCCCTTATCATTTAAAAAAAGTGCCAGCCTTTAGCATTTAAAATTTGGTATAATGAGGCTCAGTGTTTCAAAGCTGATGTCAGGGGACAGACACGGTTCACATCCAATCATTTTAAAACAAGCTTTTAGTGTAGTAGTTACATTGGTGGGGAATATGATTTAACAAAATGCAGTATGTTCAAATCTATGTAATGAGAATTATTTGAAAAGTGAATTCCTTTTGTTCCTGATTTCCTATTGAAATTCACTTACATTTCTCCGGCTTCTTTCTTTTGGTGGCCTAATGGAAATAAAATTTCAGAACATTGATACAGCTTGGCCACTACCTCCCTCAGTGGATAATTGATCAGCAGGGACATGGCAGAAGCTAACTTCTTCCTATAGTACAAGTTACAATTTTAGGCTTTTTTGACTCAAATTTTTCCCCAGTCAGCAAAATGATATACAAATTTTCACCACCTTTGTAAAGGATCACTCAATTGATTTTTTTATAGAATTAAATCTCATAAAATGTGTCACTAAAGTAAAAGGCCTTATTATTTATTGTCTGTGTGTACACAGATTTAGAATCATGGACAAACTACTTTGGCTATTTTGACTAACTACCAGTTAGGTTTTTTTTTTTTTTTTAGAGAAAGAAAGAAAAAGTTAGAAAACAACACAAGTTATTTTGGCTGGCACTAAATTTTTTTTCCAACTGCTTAAATCATCCTAAATCAGTCTAAAAATTCCAAACATTTAGATAAGAGGAGTGAGTATAAGGTCAACTCACAGAATCAGGGAAACGAATCTAAGCATTTCTTCAAAAACATGATTCTAGTCAGTGTTTGCTACTGGGCTGGAAAATGAAAACAAAATGAAAAAGTACCCCACTCCATCTTTGGCATTCTTTAATGTCAGTGCCTCTTACTGAGATTTGTTCTGGGTAAGGGTAGTCACTGTCCCTTGATCCTAACACATTTGACAAGTACCGATACTCTAGGCATATTGTACAACAAAATAAATACATTAGCAAGACCATTTCCCCCTTCATTTTAGCCCAGGCATAAGAGATAGGTTACTTAAAATTCAAGTGCCAGGAAAGCCTATTGTAAAAGGGAAATATTTTTTGAGTGAATTCCGTTTGATCTTTTTTTATAGGAGCTCCAACCAGCCTCTCTCCCTTCCTCCCCAGACCCTGGAAACCAATTAGTCTCAGCATGAAGGCCAGAGACCAGGTTGAAATGGCTCCTTTTTATTTTTAGGGGATATAATTTCAGCCAGCATGTCTAGTCAGTTGTCACATAGCATACTTTGCACACTTCTCTCACACACACCCCATTGGATTTCCCTTTGGAGAATGGCTAGATCTTTGAGTCTGACTCCTGGAAAGGAATTAGATCTGGTTGCCGTCCAAATCCTTCAGCTCTGACAATGGCATAACATCACAGGGCCACCTCATCTTTCACAGACAGCCTTGCCAACCAAGTTTTCTAAGAGCCTTCTCTTTTTTGTCTCTTGTCTCGTGGCATTTCAGTGGCTTTGCCTTTCCGTATGTTGTTTGCATGCAATTCTGAAAAACTTTTTTCCCCATTAACCAAAGTAGCAAAAAAAGGGGGACAAACTATGAATTTTAAAATGTTTCTGAAGGGCTTATCATTTGGGGAAAACGTACCCCAAAGACAAAAGTAAAAACTACAGTCTGCCTCTGCTCAACTGTCTATCCTGAATCTGCCTCAATTCATGGAGGTGGGGAAAAAAATGATCGGTTGCACTGGCCTTTTCTTTCTTAGGAACAACACAGCAGAGAGAAAGGGTGTGCGTGTGTCTGTAGGTATCTGGCGAGGTGCAAGGCTTGAGAAAAAGGAGTATAGCTCTCCCCCAGGAAAGCCTAAGCTCAGCAGATGGGAGGGGACCCAGGGTAGCCTTCTTTGGTCTGAGCGCAGTACCCGAGCCTCTCGCCTAGCCCCAGCAGCGAGCTCTGCGCCCTGGAGCTGTGCCAGGACTCCAGACAGCGCCTGGCAGGTCGGTGGGTGGGAGGCCTGGGTGTCCTCTTTGCAAAAGACGCCCATTTGGAGGGAAAACTCCCTTTATTTGTCTTGGGATTCCGTAGCACCCCCTCGCCGATCCCCTATCATTTCTACGCTGGTCACACTCCTGATGATGAACTTGCAGCTCAGCTTCCTGCCGCCTGCTTGACCCGGGAGCACCAGCAAGCTGACGGCCTCGCCCTCAGTTCCCTCCTCCTCCCGCAACCCCGGGGCCTCGGGGAGCCGGCGGGGGTTCGAGTGGGCCGGGGTTGAAGGAGGGGCACGCGGGGGCGCGGGGTCCCGCCGGGGAGCGCGCACGGAGCGGCGCCTCGGCCGCCCTGCTTCCTGGAGCTGTGCTCCTTTGACCCCAGTGGCAGTCCCTGTCACTGCACCGCTCCCTCCGGCTCGCCGCGCCCTCGCTCTCTCCTCGCCCCCTCGCTCGCTCTCTCCCCAGATCCAGGCTGCTCCCGTCCTTTCTACCCGCCCCCCCACCGGCCTCTCGCGCCGCGCCCCTCCACCCCCTGCCCCAGCCCGCGGCGGGACCTCGGGGGTCGAAGGTTCTGGCCCGCCCTCGCCCCTCGCCGCCCCAGCGCGCCCCCAGCGCTCCTCTTGCTGGCTCTGGCGGCTCTGCGATGGATCGCCTGCTCGCCGGGCGCTGAAGGCATCCCCCGGACCCGGAGCGCAGTCCGGGAAAGGTAATCCGCCCCGGGAAAGGAGGCGGAGGGCGGGGGAGGGGGGAGGAGGCAGCCGGGCGCCCGGTGCCGAGCGCGAGAGGAAGGGAAAAAAATGCACACACAAAGCAGAGCCCGGGTGAGAGGTGCCTTGTCAGAGGCGCGTGCTGGGGGCTCGGAGGCTGCGGACCGCGGCTGCCCCGGTGCCCCTTACATTCACAGGAGCGGACGCTTCCTGGGCAATTCGGAACCCGAGTAGGGTTTATTTTCTACCCCCGAGCGAAAGCGAATTCTTTTTTAGGAGCTGTCTCTCTCCCACTCCCCATCTTGCTCCTCTGCTCTTCTCCCCTCCCCCCAGCCCTCGGCCCCCGGCCCCCGACCTCTCGGGGTCCCCACGTCCCCGCCCCCTCCTCCTCCCGGATTTTTTAGGAGGGGAGGAAGGGTGCCGGTGAGGGGTAGCGGCAAAAGCCTGGCGGCGAGGATGGGGGTGGGGACGAGGGCACCGGGAGATGTTTACTAGAAAGTCTCAGGGTTATGTGTTCGAGCCGCCCCGGCCTAGGCCTGGGTGCATTGTGTTGGCGCGAGCCCCGAGCGCCAGTGGCGGCCCGAGCGAGGTGCGGTGGCCGGGAAGGCACCGCGCAGCTTTGTGCTCGGGCTGCGCTCCACCGGCGCCCCCGGGGCCGCTAGCTCGCGCGCTGCCCTCGCGCGGGGATTTTTGTCACCCTGTCCCCGAGCCCATAGCTCTTCCCTGCCGCCTTCGGTCTCTCTGATCGCAGCGGGCAGAGCGAGCTGGTGTCTCGGGCTGGGTAGCTGGGGACGAACGGTGAGAAAAAAGTAACCGTTGCCGCCCGATTTCTTGAGAGAGGCAGGAGTTTCTTTGCTATTTACATGTAACAGGGTTATCTTTGTAAAGCCTTTGAATTCCGGGGTCTTGCGGCCTAAGGAAGTGGAGGGGGCATTTTCCTGGAGATTGGGGAGGGGATTAGAATCCACCAGCAAAAAAAGAAATTAGAGATATCCCAGCGGGGTAGATTTATACCATATTTACCTCCCCCCCAACACCCCAAATTAAGTGTAAATTCGGGTCACGAAAAATATGTAATTGATTTGAGATGTTGCAAACAAACACAAACAGGTCAGGATGGAAAAAACAAACAAAACTTTAAGTGAAAGAAAAGATTTCCAAGGGCAGGGGTGGGAACCATGCCCTCTACACCCCCTTCCAACCCTCCCTGGCTCCCTCCCTTCCTTTCTCCGTCCCTCCCGGGAAGCAGCCCGGCAGCTCTCGGGTAGCGGCGGCCCGGGGCGCAGGCTCCGCTCAGAGGGTTCGGGGATGCCAGCGCGCCCGGGAGACTGACGTCGGGGGCGTGGGGCTACGATGCTTCAGCGAGGATGGCGCGGTGTCAGAGCCATTGGCCGCCGGTGGTCATCAATCAACCCGGGGCTGGGGGAGAGGGAGAGAAAGAAAGGCGCCCAGCCGAGCCCGGGGGCCGCGAGCGCCAGCAGTGCCAGCAGCGGCGGCGGCAGCAGAGGCGACGGCAGTGGCAACCAGGGACTAAGCGAGTAAGGCGAGCTGGTGCTCCAGGAAGGAAGGGGGAGCTGTAGCCCGGACGAGTCGGCCGTGAGCCGGGAGGGCAGGGCGAGCTTGAGTGCGCGCGCGTGCGTGTGTGTGTGTGTGTGTGTGTGTGTAGTTGGTGAAGCCCCCATCCCCCCAATTTAAAACAAACACACCAATCCAAAGTAGAGAATTCCGCGCCCCCCGCCCCACCATATATAGACTAAGCGCAGCCAGAGGCGTAGGAGAAAAGTCCTGCCCTTCCTCTCCCAAAGAATGTGCCACCCGGGTGTCCGCAGTGCTGGAGACAAGTTCAGGTGTAAGTGCTGCGAACGGGAGGGCGCTCTGTGGATAGAGGCACGTGGAACTTTGTGCATCCCTCCCAAAACCCTGGCAGAGTAGCCGCCGGGAAGGCTTGTGAGCATCGCCCTGGGATATAGCGATGAGAAACTGGAGGTGGGCATAAAAAAGCAAGGGCGTGAGTGGAAAGATCACTCGACAGTGCAACGGAGGGAGGAGAGCGCAATTTGGCGGAGTTGCAGCAGGCGAGTTCCACAGCCTGGCTAGGCGGTCGGGCTATCTTCTCAGGGCAAGTGAATAAAAAAAGCATCCTTGTTTAAACGACGAAATCAAGGGCTCCTTTCTCATAGGCTGTAACATGCGGTGCTCGGGGAGAGAGGTCATGAGTTGTTGCTTTGAAACTTTTGGTAAAATGGACTTACGGTGTCTAGGAGGTGGAGACAGTCATTTAATTCCTCAGCTTTTAATCCTTTCATTGCCAGCAGACTTTAAAATGTTTTCCAACTAGAGTGCTGGGGGAAAAACATTGTCCGTTGCACCGCTTCAGTGACAGGAGAAATGGTTGCTGTCCAGGAAATGCAAAATGTGTTCACATGATTTTTTTAAATAGAAAATCAAAGTAGCACCAGCATGAATGTTCGGCAGTGTCAGCCCCATTTTTATTTTTCTTCAGGATTCCTGGCATTTAGTACCAGATTCCTTTGTTTTGTGGAGCAAATGTGTTTAAGTATAAAATGAAAATGAAAAAGAATATACTGGTCTCTTTAAATATTGTATGTCAAAAGTAATGTAAGCGTGATGAGGAAGAGATGCTCCAGTATCTGATTGTTTGGAAGGTTTTACTGCCTAAACGTGTGAAGCAAGGTGATGGAGCTTCTTGATAGTTCTATTTAGTGTATCATTCTCTCTTGTTTCCAACTTTTAACAAATTTCTCAAGTTGAGGAGGGAGACCGTTTTATCATCTCTGAAAGTTTACCCCAGAAAATGTCTTTCCTATGTGTTGTTTAATATTCTAAGGATATGCTCACTTTATGATGTGAGTGAAGGTGGACATAGCATTTTAAAAAAATAAGCCTTTTCTGCACTTGTGTGTAAGGTTCCTGTGAAAGTTTTGAGGCTCTCTGCCTCAGTCTGACATTTTCTTCAAAGGACTCCAGATTAAAGAAGATGGACGCTGCAGGTGCACTGTTTTGATAAAACATTTGAAAGAGAACATGCTTAAGAGGAATTCAAATGAGGTACCAGCTACCCATTTAGCCCTTCAGAGTTAGAGGGGCCTGTGCTTGCTGATGAAAAGATGTTCTATTTGTCTTGCTGGGGCAAAGGTGCAAAGAGGCACAGATGTTCACTTGATAGTAAAGGCGATCCCTTGCTGACTTTAGGATAGTGTGGACCATTGAGGAAGTGAATTGGTCACCTTCTAAGTTCAGTCTCTTCTAGGCTTCCAAAGGCAGGGTCTAGCGCCAGCTCCTGTAAGTCATTGCATAGATATTTACATAATGAGTGTGTCTGTTTTATTTTATTTCTAGGCCATTTTTGGTTTAATCAGTGAATTTGCTCCAGAAACATTTAAACTGTTTCTGGCACTGGGTGCTGAGATTGTGACTGAGAGGTCACAGTGGTCTAGACGTGAATTTCGTTTCCTTTGCTTTTGAACGTTCTGTGTTTCACACAATGGACCGTGATGGCAGGAGCATAAGAATTGCCATGCAATTTTTACATCACTCTCTAATTTGTGCAAACACTTTTAAGTTCTTGCAGTCTGAAAATGTGTGTGTTTTTTTCCTTCTGTGCTTTGATGGCTAACATTCTTTTTAATGACAATCATTTCTATAACAGGAAGATGTTTCCATTTGTATTTACTTTTCAGCATGGCGCAATTATGCGGTTTTGCGCTTCAGTAGTGTCTCGGTACTTTGTGTCTCAAAAGAGAATTACAGTACTTAGAACAGGACTGCAATTTGAAGCAGGTGTTGTGTTTTACTGTTATGCAAAATAACAGTAAAATATAATTGTGGGGGAAATTAAGGAAACAGCTGCAAACTTGGTATGAAGACTGCCACATTATGACTTGTAAGCAGTTCTTAGAGCTATCTTACATCAGAGGAGCAGGGAAAAGATTTTAATTTCGTTAATCCTCCTCGCCCGGTTGTCTATCAACTGGTGCTTAAAGGACTCCTACCTCCCATGAAGTCAGGAAGAAGAAAAGGAACCCAAAGCGACACTGTTTAAAATGCCAGTGCACCAGGGATTCTCTCTTGGCAGTGGCTTTGTCCATGAGGAACGCAGGCAAGGTGGGTGTTGTTTGGCTCGCTTTGCTCAGATGAACAAGGCCATGATTTGAGTAGAACGCTGTGGAATTTCTTAGCCCAGTTAGCATATGGAGGGCTACACAAGCCCCGGGTTGTAAAATAATAAAATAAATGGCCTATAGCAGGCCATCTGCCTTTTGCTTGATATTGAAGGTGTTTCGTGCCAAATTCAAATCTAATCTTATTATTCTAAATATTTTTATTTGCGATAGCAGCTAAGACTCCAGAGCTTAATGGTGCACGTGGCAGTCGTATTTTGATGTGCAGCACTTAAAGTGGGTTACCCTAGGGTTATGCGGGGACCACGCTGTCCTCTCCTGCTCCTCCGCTGCACTGAGCAGTTGCAATGGGCCTGCATGCGGGGAGGGGCTCCCACACCTGCCGTAAAAGTAAACAGCCTTATTTCTGAACCCAGTGCGGCAAATCATATATTGACATTTAAAAGAAGATTCAAAACTAGTGGGAACTTAAAAGAAGTGTGAAACCAACTATGGAGAATTCTGCTTCAGCAAGCTAGAACGAGGCAGGCGGAAGGTGTAACGGCCGCCCTCCTTCACTGCTCCCTCCTGGCTGATGGAGGGGCAGTAATGAATGCATCCAAAGTGGGGGTCCCAGCCTGGATGTGTTTGCCTTTCCCCCAGGTGACTGCACTGCTTTGAGAGATTATATTGCATTTAGCATGAAAGATTTGCCTTACCCTAAAGTTCTTCACCCAAGTGGAATGCATAGGTATAGCAGGCATTGGGTATGGATGTGTTCTGAAAGCTGCTTGTGAAAGAAAAAAGTAGGTGTGATATGTGCATATATGATGTGTGCATGTATGACATGTGCAGTACAGGTACACACAGGTGTTGTTATGAGCATAGTATTTTAAGCTTACATTTGTCATTGCATTTTATGGTTGTGTTAAACATTTTGGTAGTGTTTTGTAGTGGAGATTTCAGTTATGTGACACCAACTTTGTTTAGACCAAATATGCCAATTCACAGGGAAGGTTTGGAAGAGTCTCCCACTTTGAGCACAAACCATTTATAGTTAGACGCCATGGCAACTGTGGATACGGCCCTTCTGTAATCCACATTAAGTGCCATAATTATAATTAAAGAGGAACTCTTAGTTTGAATGCCATCGAGATGATTTGCTGGCAGCCAGCGGTGTCGTATGGCGTGGAATGTCCACTCTGAAGTGCTTGCAGGGTAGAGAGTTGGGAAAGGTTGTATCCATGAGACAGCAACACGTATTGAGATGGTTTCTTCCTGAACGAATTTCATGCCCATGTGTCACATTTGACATCTCTTAGAACACCCTCTTTTTTTCTTTGTTCTCATTTTATAATTTTTTTTTCCAGAAACGCACAGCAGTATTGATGAGTAGATCCTTGGGTTCAGAGGTTGGCTGAGACGCACCATGCCTGCTTCCATCCTTTGCTCCGGAAAGTTGTGAATTGCTCGTGCCTATAGGGAGGAAGGATGGCACATGGGATTCCTTCTCAAGGCAAAGTTACCATAACGGTGGATGAATACAGCTCCAACCCCACCCAAGCATTCACGCATTACAACATCAACCAGAGCAGATTCCAGCCACCACATGTACATATGTAAGTATCTCTCGCGAAGTTTAAAAACCAGCAGGCAAAAAAATAGACACAAAATAAGAAAGTCGCTAATGACTTCTGCCAGCAAAAATAAAAGGTATATGATTTGCAAAACAGATGCGTGTCTCTGGTTCCAAGTACAGCTTGGAGGAATACCTCACGCCTGTATCACTTCAGATTTTCAGAGTACTTTCCACCACAATTTGATATTAGATTCTCAGAGCCTGGAATGGGTAGTGGTAGGTTGCCCACGTTTTATGGAAGACAACAGAAAAGTTAAGGTATCTGCCTAATGTCACACAGTGAATTTTGGCAGAGTCTTCTGACCCCTAGCCCAGTTTGCTTTCCGTTTTATTGCTGTCTCCACGAGGAGAATTGAAAATTGCTACTTTTTCCCCCTTACCTCACCTCCCCACCCTTTCACATGTAGCCGGGAAATAGGCCTAATCGGGACGACTTGTTCAGCCACTGCTAAATCCACTGTCCTGCCTGTTGCTAGTGGAAAGTGGGCTGCATCTGCACGGCTCCTACAGCGCAGGGAACAAAGGACCAAGGGGCCGGGGAGCCCTGGTTCCAGACTGTACTTTTCTCTCACCCCCTAATACTATTTAAATCATGTGCGGTTTAGACTGTTTCAGGAACAAAGTGTGGGAGAAATCAAGAGGCAAGGATTGTGCAGCACCTGGGTGCACACCAGCTTTTTTCTGTTCCTGGGCCATGGGAAGTGCTGGGCTTTCAGCAGATGGGGCAAAAGGTCACCATCTCCCTTGTTATTCAGGGCCTGGTGCTAATTCTCTAAGAGACCCTTCCAGTGTCTAACACGAGTCTTTCACAGTAGGACTAAACCTCTGTGAAAACTATTGTATAGTCAAGAGAGAAAGCAGGTTAGGGCCCTGTCGACTGTGTCTGCCGTTCCTGGCAGAAGTGAACTCAGGGCACTTCCAAGTCACAACAAGCTCTTTTTTCTTTTTTAGTAATTGTTTTATTTGAGCATTTAAAAAATAGTGGGACTGCCCTCCCCCAACACACACACACACACACACACACACACACACACACACACGCCTACGCCCTCAAATTCAGAAACACTAACCAGACAAAAAGCTCTTTCTCTTGGCTGTCTGGGTACTAGTGTAAAAGTAGGATGTTACTTTGCAAGTATGTCCAGTGGAGCCACTCAATTACCTGTGATGGGGGATTTCTTAAAAAAAAAAAAAAAAGAAAAGAAAAGAAAAAGAAAGAGGAAGAAATCCTTTGGAATGGTTTGTGCTAAACTATTTGTGAAAAAACATATACCTGTTTTAAATCAGAATGTATTCATGATTATGGAGGATTACTAATACGATTGTAAGGAAAAATTTTAAGGTGAATGAGATTTTTCTCTGTTAAAATGGTTTTTCTGAACAATAACTATGTATCCATATCAAATACTTCTCTTATTCTTCTAATAACTTATTTTCCTTCGAATATATGATAGGATTTGTGCAGGCGGACTTAGGATACTTTTAGCTCTGTTTTGCTGGAGTGTGGTTTTGATTTAATGAATTGCAAAGAACGTCATGGATTCTGTTCTCTTTCAGGCAAAGGAAAGTGTGCTTTGCCCCAGCTTTTGTGGAATATGACTGATAAGGAATCTCAGCTTAGGCTTCACTTGTTCGTAGCCATAAGATTCCACTCCTGAACTGTGAATGCACAGATAGTTTAAAACTCATAGAACCTTGGAACTAATCTGCTTTGATGTAGCCATAAAATATTCGAAGGCTGGAAAACGGGGCTTTGCCCTGGCAGCCTAGATGGCGGTGCAGTCCTTTTACCAGACCACCTTCCTGCCTTGGAGGAGAAGATCCTCCCATGGTCTGGGTCCAGCTCGCCTTTTTACCGTCATTCTCCACTGAGGGCCTCCTACCTGAACCCTTGGCTCCCGCCATGCAGATTGCCTCACTGCCACCCGAGCACACCTTGAGCTTTTCCATCTCTGTGACACTGCCTTCGCTGTTTCTCATGGCAGCACCACTCACACTTAGGCTCTGCTCATCGAATGCCTCAGAGCCATTCAGGCGCCTCTGTGTCTATGAAACCTCTTCTGCTTCTCCCCGTCCCCCCCACAATGCCCCTAGTCACTTGGCATTTACTTCAGACCATACCATCTGCACTATTATCGTTCTCTCTCTCCAGGGGCTGAGTAGGCAACAGGTGTTCAGAAGTACTGACTGATTGATTGATTGATCCATCCATTGATTTGATTGCACATTGAGATGAGAAATTCTGTCTGAGATTCGGAGGTTTTCCTTGGAATTTTTCTGAGCCGTTTTCCCATCATGAGTGTTTGAGTGAAGGTGTGTGCGTATCCTTGAGATCTGGGCTCACTGCGTCCTTGCTTGTGCTGTTTGGTGCTTGATGCCCTGGTGCCATGGCTGCTCCACGCGAGGCATTCAAATATCTTGGTGAAATGTGACAGTGTGCTATGAAATGTGACAATGTGCTATTTCTATTGTATATATCTTTAAAAGAGATTGCCTTGAATCTAAATAGAAACTAAAATTGGCTGGGAAATATCCACAAAATATGTAGTCTAAAATTTCTTCAGTATTTTTGAAATTTTCAACATGTCACGCAGAGCTTGCTCCTGTCCCTGCAGATATCTTGTCTTTCCCACTGGAATAGTTGCTCATTTATTATGCATGGGATTCCTAAATCACTTGTTTCCCATTTCCACCTGCAGCTGAGGTCGGTGAAGACCTGTGACAGATCACCTGGATTGGAGTTACAACCTCGCTCCCTTAAAGGAGCCTTTGTTTTCTTTCAGACAGCCTAGTCTGGGTTCTCTTCCCTTAATCAAGGAATAGCTCACTTCCCATTTCATTAAGATGGTCTCTGCTCAGCTTTGTGACCCACTTTGGGCAATTTACTTTCCTCGTTGAGGCCTCTGTCTATGCATCTCTAAACATTTGCACCAAACGATAGTTATGGATCCTTTAGTGCTCACATACTAAGATGAAGCTGGAAACTAGGATGATATTTATTTGCAGGGTGTTGCTATGGGGGGAACACAGATACGTAAGGCCTGGTCTCCATCTGCCTGGAGCTCGCCACTGACTCCAGAGCTGTCGTTCCAGTGGCTGTAAGAAGTTTCCTGCTTGGTCCTGGTTTGCTGTTACCTGTGGGCCCTGATGAGGCTGCCCACCATGCTTCCTAAAAACCACTGGCCTGCATCTCTGCCAGTGCCATAGGGCAGGGTTTTTAAAATTTTTTTTAAAGAAAGCAATTCTTTATGACCTTGGGAAAGAAAATTAAAACAGAGGTGGAGTTGGCAGGGCAGAATTTAACCTACAATTTGTGTGCCTCTCTTACTCAGACTCTTGAACACACTAATAGATGTGGTGATTGAAAACCAGCAATTAACGGGACTTCATTTTTCTACAACCCTTTCATCTTTCCCAAGAAGACTGTTGAGAAAATTATTTAGTACTTAATGATGGTGGGAGGAGGTGCTAAAGGAGCCAATGTAGGTTTGAAAACACTCATAATGATTTTGTATGTTTTCAATTATCTGAGGCCTAATAAAATAGCGTAAGACCTTTTTCATAGAGTATCCAAGCATCTCAGTTTTTGCACTGAAAGGCCTGTGTTCTGGGACACCCCTTAGTCTCATGCTAACCAGGGTGGTTGGCTACTCTGCTGAGGTTGATTCCTTACCCTTTCCTTTAAGGATTGGTTGTTAAGAAACTCAAATCAAATGTTATTTTCCGTTTCAGTTATTTTGCTTGCCTATGTCTTTGTCAACACCCCCAGGGTCTTCTTTTTAAAAAAAAATATTTATTTTTCAATTATGGCCTACATCCATTATTTTTTATTAGTTTCAGATGTACAGCACAGTGGTGAGACAGTCATAAACTGCTTTACAGGTGATCCAGGGATCTTACTTAGCTCTGGTTCTGTTACACTTGTTGTGGGGTAACATTGCAGAAAGCAGGGTGGTGAACATCTCTGGGGGAATCAGATCGTTGGGTTTCAAACCTGGGTGCATCCCTTACTAGCTGTGTAACCAAACATGGAGAAATGTATTCACTTTCCTGTGTTTTTTTCCATTTGTAAAATGCAGACAATGAAAGTAGTGTCTATCTTAAAAGGTTGCTTGGAAACAGTATTGTAAATTTCTTAGAGGAGGGCTTAGTGTGTGGTCTATACTCAATAAATGTTAGATATTATCATCAATGATTGTTTTATTGATTCTGCATTTTTTATTGTAAGCCGTCTCTATTCATTTTGAAAACCATTAGAGTATAAATAAATGAATAAGTAAGAAAATAACTCCCTGGTAAGTTTTGGCCTGCAAACTGTTCTGGGTGGGATTTTTGGTGGTTAGGGTTGACAAGTGTGCTGACTTTTTAGTGTCTGTCAAGATCGTAGCTTAGGAGTGTCACCTACCTCTAGTTACTCTGTGGGAGAGACACTCCTGGGGCAGGGGGCGGGGGAGGATAGGGAATCCAGTGAGCTGAGTGTTGCCTGGCTGTTTTCTGGGGCATCACAGTGGCCTTCCTCCACTCAGGCTGGTCTCAGGTCCTAGTACCCCCATCATTGTCTTATATGCCCCACCTGACTGTGGTTAACACAGAGGCATCAAGCATTAGGCATAATTAACAGGGTTGAATGCAAAGGGCACAGTTTGGGATGAGGAATAGGAAATGGTAGCTGAGAATGTGGTCTGGAATCAGAGATCTCTACAAATGCTCTTGGGCCGGTGATGATGGACAGATTACTGAACCTCAGTCTTCTCATCTATAAACTGAGTTAAGTGACCCTTTTAAAGGGTTTTGGGCATTAAATGAGGTGATGCATATGACAGATAATGCCTGAAAGGTAGCATTTGATAACCAGAAGCTAAGATAATGTTTATGGTCTTTTCCACTATTTGGTGAGCATGAGATAAGGGTAAGTTATTGAAGTATCTTTATTTCTCAACTGGGTGATCGAATAAAACCTGACAAGTCCCATGTGTGTTC